GCAATGTCTTGCTAAAGTGTAAAAACAGGAGAGTTTTAGTAAAGAGTTTTACGGCACTTGCAACACAATAAGGTAATATAAGTGCAGAAGACTAGAGGTGATACAAGAGAGTTACAAACATAAAAAAGAAGCAGGAGAGATGAGGAAGATAGATGTTAGATAGGAAAGAAGGAGTAAACCACACCAGAGAACCCACCAATCACCCACAAAAACAGGTAAACTTTAAGAACATACATTGCATCAAACACACCTAAAATAATCTACAGAGGGAGCAACTTAAAATGAATTTAAAAAGTCAGAAGTCTGTCAGTTAAAAAAAATCTGCTGCCTGCAAAAGAATTGCTCATCTTGAAGCAAGCACCAACTGCTTCATAGCACTACCCATAGTATCTGAAACAGCCTGCAGTAACTCAAACATGATTGAAAAAAAAGAATAAACATTGCAAGAACACTCACCAACCACCCACTCTCATCATCTAGTCAAAAAAGACCACTAAAGTGTACATGTAGTAAACCAAGTCATTCTAACTGGCCTATATTGCAACTAATTTTCACAAAAGGGAACAAAGTTTTATTTTAAAAAGTGTAAGTATTAAGTCACAGCTCCATAACAACTTTAAGTATACGGCAAGAAATTGTGGAGGAATGGCATGTTTCAATTCCAATAATCCCAACATAACTTAAGCTCAGTCACTGCAGATTCCAACACCCCAAAACTCACAGCACATTATTGTACCTTAAAGCAGGCTAACAACACATATCATTTACCAGCAGTTCATATGTGTACTAATCCCAAAATTTTGATTTGTTTTCAATTTCAGTTTGTCATTCTGTGGTTTCAGTTGCAAGTGCTCAAGAAATATTTTGTTAAAATTTAAATTCTAAATGTTGAAAAAAAACCCCAACAAACAAACAAGAAAAGATACACAATGTAGAGGTATAATAGTTAAAAGAATGAAATAGTATTATCTCTCTCCTGACAAATCTTTCTTTTTGTCTGGGCTTCGTACATTTGAACAGCTTGCCCACGATATAAGATAATGTGGGCATTTTCATACAACACAACACACAGTAATAAATAATTCATCACCAGGTTGACAGTATTGCTAACAATGTATAGTGCACACACTCAGTTTGTCCATCTTCCAAATAGAGTAACTTATAAGTATCATGCAAAAAAAATAATTGTAACGCCATTAGTACAAATAAACAAAAGATAGGTTTGAGTATTTGAAGGAGCATTGTAAACACCCTGTATGGTTTTTCTAAAATCACAGTCAAAAACATTTCATGAGGAACATACATGACCATCAAAGTAATCGTCCTCAGAACACATTCAAACCCTGCCCTAAACTTATATTTCAGTATAGAAATGAACAATATGGCAGCAGTGTAAAAGATTTAACGAAAACTGACAGATTCACACTTTAGCACACATATCTATTCTTTGCTTACTTACACGTAGAAATATTTAACTCACCACGGCTCATTCAGAAATTTATGTTTGCTTTTGACTGAGTTTATTATCAACATGATGTTTGGAAGACATTTATATTACCACATTGCAACCTCAGTGCTTTCTTGTTCTATCTCCTTTTTTAATCACAGTGAAAACAGTTCATCACAAAGAGTGAGCGTAAGAAGAAGTCACATTTTCACTGTTTAAAAAAGCGGAGATATGACAAGAAAGCACTGAGGTCGCAACATGGCTTTTTGGTCTAGCACCATGAGCACAGAAACATTTTTGGAGGAATTAAAAAAAATATTAGGGTATCAAGCATTCAAACCTCAACTCTCTTGTCACTAATCAAGTTCGCATTTGCAACAACAATTTGCACTGAAAAGAAATAGGCTACCAACAAGACACAGAAAAAAGGGGGAAAGGTGTTTACCATTCTAGTAAACTAATGCTACATCAGCTCAAGAGTGGACACTTCAACAATAGTCGCAACAATAAAACTATCTCCAGATAGATTGACATAGCTTTAGAAGGATAGAGGGGGTCAGAGAAACAATTAGATAAAAAAATATAACCATGTAACAGGCATTACAACAAACAAGAGAAAGACGTTCGCCTTGCCCTTGACACCATGAGATAACAAAAGCCGGAAAAAATAAAAGTGAAAAGATAAAACAGAAAGTAAGTACAAGGCAAAAGTATTTCTCTACCCACTACCCGAAGCCAGTACAAAACTGTACTGGCCTTTTATCCATCAAATCATCAAAACCATTTTTAAAAAAAACCCAAACCGTTCCTCTGACCAAATAAAACTCTGTGATTCCAGAAAAAAAAGTGTTTTTGATTTTCTGACAACAAACTTGATTACATTTATGTGAGGTGGATTACATCAACAAAACCAAAACAAATCTGGGAACAGACACTGACTTCAACTTTCTCTTCCAACTTGGGATGATTTTTCTATCATACACAATTCAAAACACAAACAGAGAGGAATGGTATAAATTAAATAGCTGACTGAATAAATAAAATTTCCAAATTACACAATCATGGAAGACATTACTTGAATACACACACACCATCTCAAAAACTGTTAACACAAATTTACAAATTTCTCACTCTTAGAACTCAGTTCTGATTTTTTTAACTATGTGTGTCCTCTTTGTATTCACAGTACGGTCAAAACTGTCCAAGACGGCCACCTATTGTAGAGGAGAAAAGAGGTTGCCTTAGACAGGTGGACCTCTTGGACAGTGTCATTATGATATATGCAAAAAATGCAAGGGGGGAAAGTGGGAAGTGGTTGTTTGTATAGGTGATTGTCTTGGACAGGTGGGTACTATTATAGCATGTTGGACTGTACTATAAGTACAGAGTTAAAACAACTGTGGAGTGAGAGAGAGAGGCTGTCAGAGTGGTCACATTCTGTACAAAAGTCATCCAAAGTAGTATCTCGTCTAGCCTATGATAGGACCTCACCCATTGTGTAGAGAGAATAGGAAGAGTTTGAGCCATGACGACCAGTCTAAAAAAAACATTTCCCAATATAGGTGCTTTTTACGCCCTCATCAATACAATTTAGGTCATTTAGCAAGCAGGCTTTGACCCTGTCTGTCAGGTGTCAGGGCCAACCCGGGCTGAGATAGATACAACGTCCCAGTAAAAGATAAGAATTCTCATTACACAGGAATCCAACTCAGGTTTTCTGCCCGTGATGGCGAAGTGCCTAGTTGTTACACCACAGACAAAATGATAAAGTGCAAAATATAAAAGTGATACAAGTTTTGTGGAAGATAGGACTTACCAAAATAAAAATCAGAGCCATGTGTACTTCTTGAACTGTGGTTGATGAACTAGATGAACTGTCAGAGAGGTATTTTTTTGCTATGTTCTTGTTAGAAAATAGGACACTTAATCATACAAATCAGTTCCAATGTTGGTTGAAGAATCTATAGTCAACTACCACTGAGATCTAAGGGTGGAGTGCAGGATAAAAAGAATAAGCCATTCCAATCTTTCATGACTTGAACAGATATAATGTGAAAATAAAAAGTCGCATAGAGGGTCTAAAAAAAGCGATAGACTCACTAGACTCAAACTAAAAACTAGCAGTCATATAAAAATATACCATAACAGTACAGTAAGTAAACAGGAAGCATCTTCAACATCTTTCCTTTCCGGCCATGTTTAAAAGACCAAGGGCAAATCCTTCCACCTTCAACATTACATAAATGGGCCAATAAAAATCTCAAAATAAAAGAATTTTTGGGCAATAATCCCATATATTCTAAAAGAAACAGATAACAGTGACAAAATTATGAGCTCATTTGTGCAACACTTAAAAATAAAAATGGGTACTGGAATGGAACAACGCTAAAGTCTATTATGACCTATAAGTAGAATGCAGATTTACTAAAATTGTAGCTATAATTTCAAAACAATAAGCCAACATTGTCAAAAAAAAAAGAGGAAAAAATGACATTGTACAATGGAAAAATGGCTAAAAGACTACAATATCTGGTATCACAGAGATCGCATAGACAAGTAAAAAAGTAGAGCAGTATGGGGACATTCAGTATCACAGGAAAAGTTAAGAACCACAAAGGAAGTTCAAAAGCAGATATTTGGATAATTAAAATACAGTGGAGTCCACTTAAACTAAAATCATCAGGACTGTCGGATTTTCTTCAGTTTTGACGGGTTTACAGTTTAGAGAGGTTGCTCCAATAGAAGAAAGAAATTGTAGGGTGTATTTCCTTTCAGTTTACCACTTTTTTCAGATAAATTGTGTTCAGTATAAGTGGATTCCACTGCAGTTATCTTTCTGAACTGGACAAAAAGACTGAATGGCATTTCTAGTCTACAAAACATGTTGTGTTTTCACTACACCCATCAGTCTTTCATTGACTACAAACTTGGTCAGGGCTATTCAAAGGCTATCAAAAAGCCTTACAGTATAGATGTAGGCTATTATACGACTCAAAATACAGCAAAGCTTCACAATGCTGGCACTATTTCCCTATCAAGGTGTTTTTACACCCCCATCGACACACTTTAGATTATTAAGGAGGGGAAATTCAGAGTTAATCTGGGCTGAGAGGGATAAAACATCCCAGCAGAAAGACTGAGACACTCGTTGAAAATTCTCCTCACTCTGGATTCGAACTCAGGTCTTCTGCATGCAGTGGAGGAGCGTCTAACTACTCCACCACAGATGCTGGTGCACAAATTTCTACGTTCAGATATATCCCCCAAAACCTATTCCTAAGGTCTGAAATTGCATAGAGTATGATGAAAGAAAGCAGTAATTAAGTCACAGAAGCCAATGGGTATTTTGTGAACTCAATGCACAGGAGATCATTATGCCATGTGGAGAACATACACAGGCAGGAGGACATGCAGAAATTCCCAATGATGAAAATACCAACACACAAAAGCATGCAACAAATGTATGCATATATAATAAAAACAACATAAACCGCTGCTCATGAAGACAAAAAAAATTGAGAAACATTTCCTTAAGCACTTTTTCCATTCTCTATTTGAACACATTCTCTAATTAAACGTTTCTCACTTTTCAAATGAGAGATTACAATAGTCCAACATTTTCTTTTTGAACGCACTTTTTATAATCAAACATTTCTCACTTTTTTTCAAATGAGAGATCATAAAAGTCCAACATCCATCAGTTACCCATAACTGAGTAAGCACCAAACAGAATTGTCTACTTGAGCAGTTCCACTTCGTTGTTCACAGACACAGCCTGCTCGGTGGGACGGAAATTGTAGATGGCCACGCCAAGTATCACAACCACAAAGGAAATAAGGTACAGAACATGAAACTGAAACAAAAAAATGAAAAAAAAAATTATTTTTGTTAAAGACAAGCCTTTGTAAACCCCCACTAAATCAACACAAATAACAAATAGAGCATTTAGTAGGCAAGCATCAATTCTGACAAAGAAGAGTACAAATCTGTAATTCTGAAAGTTTCACTTTTAGACTTGAGTTTTTAAAAATACTAAATAAAGAGTTATTATGATTTACTTTAAGTTTTAGAGATGAAATTCATAACAATTGGCCAAAGTTGGAAATTATCATAGATATTACAGGAATAAAGTTTAATTAAACTCCAGACATTTTCCTTTTTCAATATTGCAAACAAACAAAGTATGTTTACAAAACTACTGTTTTTTTTGCTTTCCCTGTCCCTCTTTCTTCTGATCCTTTCTTTTTAACAAATCTACACAATTCCTCTCCTTAATGCCCCAGCAATCCCCCCCTTAATGCTGTCTGATCAGCAGTTGATCTTTCAGAACATTTTAAAACGTCATACACAAATCAGAAACACAAATTTTGCATAGTTAAAGGTATGCATGTTGTTGCCGCAATTGAAAATTTCAGATTAAAAAGACAAAATTGAAAGTTCTGACTGGTTCACCAAGTTGTGCTTCCTTTTTTATTGTGCCTCTGCTAGCGTTGTTGAAAGACCAAAATGCAGATCTTCAATGAGTGAAACATGTAACATAATTGTATACCCACATAATATATCCAAACTAAGAACCCCAAACACACAAACATATAAGAACATTTACAGAGATACACAATTACAAAAATTACCCCCCCCCCCCCCACAGCCCGACGTGGAATGAACAAGACCGTCTGGTTCGGGACGGCGGGACGCTTTTTCCTTTCGTCCCCCCCCAGTTAAAATATTACACACAAGTACAAAATAACTTCTGCACTTACTGAGTAGCCAAAGATAAAAATTCCGACGATCAACGCGTAGAAGTCAGCAGAGAGCAGGGAGATGTTGGTGATGGTGGCGCTCGTCTGCTGTATCACGTACGCCATGCACAAGTAGATGGCCACCAGGAACAGGACAAACCCCAGCCAAGGCAACACTGGCGACACACAAAACATTCTCTTTTTAAACATGTATATTTTTACACCCCCTTTTACACAATTTAGATCATTTAGGAGGCCGGCTTCCGACTCGGCCTGTCAGGGTCAGCCTGGACTGAGAGGAATACAACATCCCAGGAGAAGGACTATTATACATATTAGATACATATTATTGCCAAATACTACAAAACAAATGAATCACATTATTTTAAAGAAATCCATTTGCTTCTTTAAATTCAGTAATCTGAAAGATATTCCAGAAAAGCCTGAGACTTGAAGGGTACCCACCTATTTTATAAGATGTGAAGTCAACCTTCGACAGCTCCTGTCTCTCCAAGACTATCCTACAGACAACAAAATACACAGAACATTTGAAATGATTATGTATATAATATATTAAAACATTTTTTACTTTTTAAAACCATAATAATAAAAGTACTTTGTCCACAGGGATGGCCTTCTGCGAATTGTCAAGTCATCTAAAAGCAGTTTGTTCACAATAAACAGATGACGACCTTCAAAATCCAAGGATTAAGAAAAAAGACAAAGTAAAGCGAGAAAAGTAAAGGCAATAAGAGCAAGCAATTTGCAATCAGCACAAATGCCAAGTTTCCTTACATAGCATAGCAGCACCTTTCCCTTTCCCGCAGTGGTGTGCTTATCTGCCTGAACATAATATGTTATGTGGTTAAACATTTTGATAAGTTCGTCTGTGAGTTTTTAACAAGCTTAGAGACATTTATCTTTTATAACAAGTATTAAAAAACAGGACCAAGGTGAAGAGGTAATAAAACTGCAGTGATACTGCCTGCAGTAGGCTCACGGGGCTTTTTTCATCAACACAGCCTTTAAACCTTGATGTAATCTCAAGCTACCCCCCCCCCGCTCCACACACCCACACCCACTTTCCCTTTCCATAACACATGCTTTCCATGCAAACAACTTGAGACGTATAAATCCTTGAGAAGACTTAACTATTTAACTCCACTTTCTAAAAAAAGAAATATAATCAGGAAGAAATTGCTTTACATTGTATAAAGTGTTCGATAAAAAATGAAATTGTCATTGTAAATGCTTCACATCCTGTTGACACAATTTTGAACAATAATGGAACAGGTTCTCCAGCCCTGCCTGTCTGGGCCCACCCACGCTGAGAGGAATACAACATCCTTGCAAACAATCAGAGATACAAGAAGCCTACCCTATTCACCAAAGACACTGATAGCCTTTGGAGCCAAGACTCAAACACAAAAAAAAATATATTTTGAAAACGTAAACAACATATAGACGTACACCTGTATCCCAGCCACCAGAGTGCTGAACATTCCCAGCATGCCCAGGAACTCGGACTTGTTGTAGGACTTGACCACAAACTCCTGGGCTACATTGCTAATCCCGTACAGGGCAGCGCCCAAGATGACCAGCACGTCCCCCAGGGCCACGTTGGAACCTTCCGGAGACAGAACAGATGATAATGGCAATGGCAATCTTTATTCATCTCGCAGGGGGAAATTTGTTTTGGTCGTTTACAATTTACAGTGGAAGTGGTGCTACAAAAGACCAGGTGCACTCATGCATACATACAACAAGAAAGGACAAGAATACTGGTACATGTATTATGCACTCAAATACCTACCCTCTAAAAACACTTATCTCTCAGTTCACAACTTACAAAGTTTTTCTTACATACCTATTTATAGAGGACTTCTTTGAGTTTCCTGTATAAATTGATCAGGAATTTTATTTGGCTTTTCTTTGACTTGCTACTGCCAAGGCGTTTTTGACCAATATGACATGCACATAAGACTCTCCCCCACCCCTCCCCTCTTTCCAGTTTTTCATCCCTATCCGAAGAGACAAAGTGTTTGATTTTACTTGTACCTAGGATAATAACAAAATCGAAGTCATTCCATGACAAGATCAATAATAAAACTAATAATAATAGTTCTTCTGTCAATGTCTGATGATAACCAATGCATCTTCAGAAGAGACAATATTCCTTAAAGAGAAATAGATAAAATAAGGATAAATATGATCAGTGGCGTCTGCTATGGCTAATAAGACTACTTCTGGAACACAAAGAATTTGCCATATTTTGAACATTTAAAAACTTTATTTTCACTTGCGAAAGAGTGCAAATTGCAGGCTTCTCTATTGACCCCAGCATTTGTAATTCATGAAGTATGTGATTTGCTGCTGGGTCAGCAAGAACCTAAAATCAAACCTGGTACATCGGTGTCCGTCTAATAGCAACCTCCCTTGGGAACCAAGCCTGGTTCAAAGAGAGAGGGGGGGGGTAATCTATACAAAAATCATTATTATCATTATTTATTATTACATCGAAACACTGACCTCCTCCATCCCCGTTTTTGCCCGTGATGACATCGGCACCAACCATCCCTGCAAGGCCCAGCAGTGCTGTGCCCACTCCGCAGTAGTGAAGGAAACGATACTGCGTTCTCAGGAAGATTCTTGACAGCAACATAACTGTGGCTATACTGAAACAGTCCAAAACCTGGAAGGAAGACGGACAAAAATGGAAATCACAATAGGAAAAGAAAAAGTTTCAGTTTAGTTTTGTTTTCGTGAGAGTTTTACAGCACTAGCAACACAAATAAGTCACATAAGTGTTGAAGGTAGGAGGAGTTACTAGAGAGTAACATACATTACAAAGAATAGAAGTAGGACAGAATAAAGATGATAGATGTTTGATAGGAAAGAAGGTGCAAACCATACCACACCATAATACCTGTCAACCAACCATAAAAAGCGATCAAAGTCCAATGCAGTAGCACTCCTTTCAACATTTCATGAACAACTTAAATTCCCAAATTTGTTTTTAACCCACAAAAAATTGCAAATTCAAGCAGTATACGCAAAAAAACAAAAACCATATACAGAAGATAAAAGGAATAGAAGTAGCAACACATACATAATAATAATGGATTGCATTTATTTTGCGCATCCACTTATGCAATGCTCTATGCACTTAACATGAAACATATTATGTACAGATTTACAAATCAATTTCAAAGGCACATAGTATTACATACAAGTGCACACACATACTCACGCACGCACGCACCCACACACACACACACACATACATCACAAAAAGTCTATTCTTTTATTGATTCTACAGTTTCTCTTTGCAATTTTTTTTACCGTTCTACAGTTGTATTTTACAGACAGTTTGTTCACACACTGTGAAAGCCAACAATCAATATTGCACTTTCTACTAACAAAAGGCTGTTTTCAAGAAATCACAGAATAATGCCCTTCTATTATTCTATGTATACTGTCAAGGCTGTGTACCAAAATTTTTACTGACCTGTACACTCGTGACGGAGGTATATCCATAGGCTTTCACCACCAGGAAGTTCGCCTCCACATCAATTAAGCCAATCAAAAAGTACTTCCAACCTCTTGAGGACTTGAGTACAGATACAAGATTTCCCTCTCCCGACTGGAATGCAAGTTTGGTGGTGAATACAAGACACAGGACGCAATACATCAGGAAGCTCTGGGCTGAAATAGGCAAAAAGTAAAATTGAACACCTCCAAACATCTTTGTGCATCACAACTATCACAGTTCGCTGTTTCCTGTTTCTGTAAGACTTACCCGTTACCCCATTTTAAGACAGAGGTCCAGCTCACAACTGAATGGTTGTGGATTTAGACACCGACAGGGCCCCAATGTTGTGTTCTTGGTAAAAGCACTTTAAAATTTTCCCCACTTTACCCCGTTAGAAATGGGTTACCCGACCACAGACAGTAAAAATCTTGTCATAATCTTGTTAGTGTCTGAGCCTTATTATTGTTATTATTATAGCATACATGTAATACTGAAGGAGCAAAACAAAGGACAACTTTCTGAGCAAGGTTTGACTGGAAGACAATGCTTGTTGCTTCTAACTCTTGGAACTGAATTTTCTTTATTGTCCTATTCCTTACACTGAGTACACACACATTGCCAATCAAATGCATTGGTTCAGTCACCTCACCACCAGCCAGATTTTTCTCCATGGAGAGGCAAAAAGCCACCATCATGACAAAATTTGACTGTGACTTTCATATATGAAATTTGTTAATTTTTCAAGGCTGTAAGTCGAATCAGTCATACTGTGCCAAAATGGTAGCTTTTGCCCTTCCATGGAGGAAAAATCTAACTGGTTGACTCAGTTGCAATTTAACTGGCAGTGTGCATCAGCCATTACAAGATACTGAGCTCTCTCATACTCATACTCATACTTAGCATATGACAAAGAATACTGAGTAGGCTACTAACAACTCAACAACTACGACTCATAACTTTATAGTCGATGGTGTTACAAGCCAATATTACCACAGGCTCATTTATGATTCTGACTTAAATTATTTGGAGAGTTTTACATACAGTAGAAGTCTCAAACTTTTTACCTCAACAGTCCAAATGGACACTTTATCTATACACATAACATAAAATTTAAAGGAATTACAGCCTATCACACACAAAAGCAAAACATGCACATAGTGAACAGATTTTCATGTCCCAAATTTTCTTTAAATTTAAAAAGGTAAATTATACAAATCGAAAAGATTTCTGTACCCCGCCGATTTCGCTATTATGTACGTGCTAGACTATTCATTACAATACAACAATTTATGTCTTGCCTTAGTCAACTAGAGACCTAAATAATAGATTTCAAATTGAAATTCCGCTACCCACAGAGAGTGGTGGAAGGACAACAGACAGTACTATGACGGGGTTCGTGCCAGACTTACCCGTTGGGATATTAACGCCTTGTTCCTGTAGCAGCCCTGAAAAGACCCCAGTCCCACAGAGCAGAACGGACAGACACTGACCAAATATTAGTGCCTTGACAAACTCTCTGGAACATGAGAGAGGGATTGACAAACAGTTTAGTTTAGCGAGCAGCTATGGTAAGGCTGGCTGAATTAGCCTCGTAGCATGTTACATTTTGAACTTCAATAATTTCAAGCAACACATGATATAATACGCCTTATTTAATTTATGATAGTGTGGGTTATTATTTTCATCTATAAAAATATATATAAATGTGTCATGACACGCTGGAATCAGATGTTCGTCAATTTTTGGGCATGTGGAGTTATTGATATCACCCTAAAACTTGCATGTATTTTTTGTGCTTTCGATAAAAAAAAACAACCCTGCCTACCAAGATAAGAACTCGAAATATTTGCGATTAAAGGAGGTGGGGGTCACCTGGTTTCATAGTAAATTAGCCAAAGTCTGATAACTTTAATAGCTTGAGATTGAGAGTCTTTGAAAATGGAAAATTTACATATTTTCAGCCTTTCATTAGTTTAATCAATGTTTGCCAGTAAAATTTACATAATATATGGAAAATGTGTTTGTATACAATAAAGGTGTTGAGCAAAAAAACAATAATTCAATAAAAATTGCCTTAAGGAAACATGCTTCTTTCTTCGATTTCATTATTTTGACAAGCACTTAATTTCCCCACGATGCCTTACATATATATATATGATTTTGTTTAAGTGTGCATACGAAAATATTTGTGAGTAAAGGGATTGTGATACATATGTGAATCTCCATACGTGCCTAAGCAATAAAAAATACTTGCTAAAATCTGAGTGTCTATTTTTTGCTGCCCCACTCATTTCTGTTGTCTCTCTCTTTACATGGTTTTGCTCATATCTCTCTCTCTCTCTCTCTCTCACACACACACACACACACACACTCACAAACACACAGACAAGCAGACACACATCTTTCTGATTCATCATCATTTAAAGTTGTATTAACTCATTTTAAACAAAGTGCGCATTGCTTCTTAAAACACACACAAAGTACATAAATTTGCTGGCAAATTTAGAGAAAAAGCATTGCAGTACAAAACCAGAGTAGTAGTCATAGTTGTAGCCAATTCAGCATGAACTACAGAGAAGCAAGTTAAAACAAGGTAATCTCAACCTATATAACACACTACCAGAGAAAAAAATTTAAGCCTCAAGGGAATAATTTACAAAGAAACTGTGTGTACTATTGCAAAGGACTGACATCTTAAACTCAATTGAAGATGGGGCCACCCTTTGAGCCGAGGATAGAAGTAGCGGACTTCTTCAGCAGTGCATAAAACATAGAAAATACTCACGGGAGGAAATGGGAAGTGGTCGTTTGAATAGAGGTTTATAGTCTTTATAGTTATACAGGGGGCCAAAGGAGTAGCCTAGGTTTGACCGTTATAGCATTCTTGACAGACATTTAAATTACCATCATGCTGTCAGTCACTCAGTGAAAATGCAGAGTGGTGAGCTTTTTATAAATACTACCACCAGTACTAAACTAAAGTCACTAAGACTGGGTTGAAAAACTATCTTATAATGTACTGGAGGAACATTTTAAAAAGTTTGAAAAACTAATTTAATTAAAAATGACATTCTGCAACTGCAGGTGGTAATCAAGTAATCACTAAATAATAAATTCATTTACCGTGAGCACAGAAGCTTGTGAGCACCACGGCTGATCTTTTCTGCTCTTGACGATGCGGGAGTCTGTTCATGTTCGTATGAAGGCGAGTCAGACATACTGTCGTCATATGAAGTGGGTCCTAGGCTCTCGTAAGAACTCATAGTTATACAAGTTGGTTCAGTGTCAGATCGATAAACAATATTGGAGGCAGCAAAAATGCATTTTAAAATGTCTCAGTCTACATGATTGACTGTGGCGCACACGAGAGAAGCGAATCAAAATAATTGTCATCCAATCACACAGCAGACTCTCAGAAACTGCAGCAACAGCATCCATACACAATGTGATACTGAAATATCTTGTTGTAAGTTCTAAAATATATTATGTAATATAATGGGATGGTGATTCTTCCGACAAAAACAGACAGAAAAAGCCCTGAGAAACAGTGTTTTTGCTGTGAATATCTAGTAAAAGTTTTACCAAAACCTTTCTAGATATCTATAGTAGGTAGGCTATAAAGTTCACTCTGACTGATTAAATTTCTTATTTTATATTTAGATCTAGATCTAGATATAAATAGATCTAGATATCTAGATCTAGAGTCTAGATTAGTAGGTTATAAATTATATAATATAATCACTCTGACGACTGAAGCACCGTTATATATTTTTGAATTCGAGACCTGGAACCTCGACCCTGTTACTGTTCGTGTTAACTACAAGCCACTAGTCACCAGTAGCTCATGTTTCAACTGCTTTTTCTTTACTCTCACTTTCACGTGACTTGAACAGTAGTGTCGAGTGTAATCCCACTCATCAGTGTAGTCTAAGGCAAGGCCTCCTATAATTTACTATAATAAAAATTATTATTGGCCATGCCATGGACCACATCAATTCAATGATCATGGCCATAATGGGGTTTGAATTGTTGACATAGAATCTAGATTGCATCACGAATCACAGTCACAGTTCACTTTTTAAAATAGATAGATCTAGATTCTCTGACTGAGAAAGTCAATTTTTTTCAAAAGTAAAGATTTCATTACGCCGTCTTTTCATACCGCAACTGCATCAGAAAGTTGCAAAACCTCAGCTTTCTACTCAAACTCAAACGACCTCAGGCCATCAATCAAAATAAAACACAAATACCGACCACTCTAGACGAAATCTAGAATGAAGAGTTCTTTCCAATCAGCTGATATGTATGGTACAACAGATTACCACTGAACATTCAAACCATCAGAATTGTGTTCCATCAAGGTTGTTTTTTTCATGTTTCACACGATTTAAAAAAAAAAAGTTTGATTGCCACTACCATAGAACACACACAAAAAAATTGCACTAGAAAAATTGTATAAAGTATAAGTATGCTTACTATGATTTTTTAAAAGTATTCTTTATTTGAGTAGCATAAATCTTATCTGGGAGTTATTTAATGGAAGTACATGTACGTGTACATAGTCTCTAATGTAGGCTAGACAGGTCCTACAGATGGTTCCAGCACAGCAGTATCTTACTAAAAAAAACCCAATCAGCTATGCAAATTAATACATTACAAAAGAAAAAAGAAATAACTGTGATTGTGCTTATGTCTGCAGGTGAAAAATGAAAGACGGGATGGTGGGTGAGTTGATGTGTTCAATACAAAAATGAACAATTCAACTATATTCCCAATTCCCTATTCCATATTAATTCAATATAAGGGTTTTGTTAACTTCCTAGTGGTTGGCTCATGCGGACGGGTTTAGACCAATCAAAATATTGGTCCTTTTCATTCTTGCCGTAGGTCACATGACACAAACACAACTACGCAAAACAGGAAGTTGGAGAAGTGATCGGAGAGCTCAATGATAATGTCGCATTGATTATTTATATTCATATCTCTGGCCTTTGTAACTTTCTGTGGAGGCAAAATGTGTGATCCTATATTCGAGTATCAATTTAGACTTATTCTGATTGGGGATAGTACTGTAGGTAAATCGTCTTTGCTCAGGTATTTTACAGATGGCAAATTCGACGAGGCCTGTGACCCCACAGTTGGTGTTGATTTCTATGCACGACTGATGGAAGTGAAACCTGGTGTACGAGTTAAACTCCAGCTTTGGGACACTGCTGGACAAGAACGATTTAGGTAAAGTACTTGTTCTGTTAGTATCTGTCTTTGGTATTTCAGGAAAAGATATCTTTTTGTCCCTAAAAGTATGGACGTACAAATCCAGGACTGTGTGTACCTAGCAGACCATTTCACTAATGACAACGTCGCCCAGCATTCTAATTGGTATTCAACATGGCAGATTTCGACAGCCTCACAGGTCAAGTATGAGTAGTGTAAGTCATGATTCTGACTTGAACTGTCACATGATAATATATTAAATATCAGAGAGAGGTATTTCCTAGATAGGCCCTACATCTATATATTTTTTAACATCTTTTAGTTTTAGTACCATAAAACCTTCATTTTAAGATTGGCTTTGTAACCAGCCTCTAGATCTAGATCTACTACTACTACTCACTAATGTTTACATTTTTACAATTTACTACTTGCTGATCCAGATTTCTTGTGGAGAATTTAAATTGACAATTGAGACTATTAAGTTAGCTCTAACTCGAATAGGAGGCTTGGCCAGGATAGAGAAAGGTGGAAAATGTTCGTGGCCTATACCCAGAAGCAGGGTGAGAAAGGCAATGATGATAAAATGTGAGGCATCTTCTTGGGGAAATCAGGCGCTCTTCAAAATAATGAAATCAAAGAAACCGTCATTTTTTTAGCCGTTTAGATCTATTCCAATGTTCTTTTTTTTGGGGGGGGGGGGGCATCGCCTTTTATGTCTATTTAAAAACACAATTCTATGAGGATTTTACTGAAAACCATTTCATTGATTAAAGGCACAAAAATGTAAATTTTCAGTTTCCAAAGACTCTTAAGTTTATAATGTAAATCACCAAACTTTGGTGGCCTTTTTCTCACTTATTTTATCTCTGAAGTCAGGTGGCCCACACCTCCTTCAATCATAAATATCACTACTTTTGTTCAAAGGCTCAATTGTGAGGTATTTTTTTCATGGAAAGCAAAACTATTGAACAAGCTTTTTGAGGTACTAATAACTCCACATGCCCAAAAATTGACGAGCGCCAGATTCTACCACATCATGAGACAAATGCCAATAAACATTGAAAGCACTGTCTGTTTTGCATTCATTTCTTTTTGTTCATTGTATAATAGAATATAATGTATTATTATCTGCAATCTCCAATTTTGGCCACAACAACAAGTGCACTGGAATATAATCGAAAGATACTTCAAACTTTCACTGTTAAGTAGCAATGCCCACCGAGCATGATTTTTGGCCCCCGCTGCGGGGGTGTTTCGTGGGATGAACTAACGCAAAGGTTATTGTCTTCAACTCGCTCTCATGCCGCTTCTCGTAAATGAATATATGAATGAAACTTGGCAGCCAATCAGAAAAGAGGTCAATCTCGTACTCGTAGTATGCAGTTTGACAACTTTGTACCCATCCGAGAAGCAGTCGAAAACGTTTGCGAAAGTGGTTGATGGGGTGCGCTTTGAAGATTTTTCGGAGCTGTGATTTGTCAAACTGACTGATACGTTGTACACCATTTTTCTTTATTCCCTTAAAATTTCATGCTTCTGTGTTTAGTGGTTTTTGCGAAATAAAAAAAAAATGTGGGAGTAACTAAGGGAAAAGCGGCATTGCCATTTGCGCATGCTGGGTGAACGACCGGCGGCTGGGAAATTTCCACTGAGTGACGTCATCAGCCATCGGTCGCCTCGGGCGCTACAAACGAGGCTCCGCTTAATGTGAACCGGAAAGGGGGGGTAAGATACTTGAAAACTAAACGGGGGCCTTGACAACTTGCATTTTTGTTGCATTTTAGTCACAATACAATAGAGGTAGTCATTTTTATTTGCTTGATTGTGTGATAGAAGAATAGAAACAGAAAAGCAAACATCTTGAGAAGTGGTATGGCATTGTGTTTGCGTTATAAATGAAAGCCTATTCCCCCCTCTTGGGAAAGCACACACTTGGAACTCGTCCTGTGTGCTCTGTTTGAAAAAGTGAGGCATTAAGATTGTTATTAAAGAGTATGGTACTTATTTAGTCCAGTCTGGGAAGATAGTCCCGTTTATACATTGTTATCGTTCACGCGTGCATGCGTGAGTGCGCGCGCGTGCGTGTGTGTGCGTGAGAGAGAGAGAGAGAGAGAGAAGGGGGGGGGGGAGGGTGTAAATATGTTACATTTATAGTATGAGTTGTTGCCTACACATGCGAAGTATTCCCATGACTTGTAAACTATATTATCTAAACGCATCTTAATCTAGCACACAATAAGACACTGTCCAACAATGGATATACATAGAGACGATCTTATTTTCTATTACAAAGTATGCATGCTTTTACTAGTAGAGAACTGGATTTATTAGACTAATAAATCCAGCTCTCTACTTAAATTTTTGTGGCAAATTGATCCAGAGCATTGCTTGGCAAGGAGGAACCTTTTATGTTGCCAAGTTTCATTCAAATATCATGACTTTGGGAGAAGATATGACTGATAATCTTTTTAAATCTGTAAAGAATGCCACTCTTTTACCTGTTAATGTCTTTACAACTCAAAAAGTATTGATAGATATTAAAAATTTGACAGCATGACTAGATTCTGCATTAAAAACTGTACTAGACTGCCAAGTTTCATTTACATACTCTAAGACATCTAATAGGCGAGCTATGACAAATATTGTCTCAAAACGCACCGAAAACCGCCACATTTTTACCTATAAACGTCTTCATTACTCAAAAAGTAGGATAGCTATGAAAATCTGAAAGCAGGACTAAATTCTGCACTAGAAAATGTAGGCCTACTGGGTTGCCAAGTTTCATTTAAATACTCCGAGAAATGAGCGAGTTATGACGAATATTGTCTCAAAACTCACCAAAGAATGTCCCATATTTTGGTTTTTTAAAATTATATAAAAGTGTACCAAAAAATTAATTGATTAAAAATTCATAACTTTTTTGTTTATTGATAGATTTCAAAAATTCAAAAAGTTCCATGCTCTGTGGGAATACAGCTACAAAATGCACCTATTTGCAAACATTTTCTGACAAAAAAAGGTTTTTCGTGGTCATTGCAATGTTAAGGGGTACGTACTGAAGGGTATTGGTAGGCTAGTCAGTAGTAATAGTGTTGTAATTATTGGGGTCAAAGTGGGATAATTATTCCTCACTTGTATTATCTTCAAGATCTTCACAGTTATGTATTGTAAGTAATTAGCATCATGTTGTATTATTTTAATGTTCAATACACCAGTTTTTAGCTTTTAAGGCAGATTTCACGGCAAGTGCCCGGAAGACAATTTGAGATTATTGATTATCATTTTGAGTACAAATCGCCCAAAATGTAATTTTTTGCTTTATGTCATTGTTTGAATGACTATCTATCTGGAAAATCAAGAATATATATACAGTTTGCCGAAATACTTTATGGGTCAAAGGTTATTTCAAATCGGTGCAAACGCCCAAATTCAGTCTTACAGTGATTCCCAACTTTCACCAGACTCACAGCATTATAAAATAAATAACGGTCAAGAGGATGTGTGGGTCAAATATTATATTTATAATCTCTTCGCTTTCATTTGGAAAAAAGGTACTTGCTTCCACAAAATTGTGCCTGTGGACTACCCAGTTCTGTCCTGTCGAGCCTGCAAGGAGGAGGGCGAAACTGTGGACCATGTGTTCCTAAAATGTCCCGCCAACTATCGTGTCAGAACACGTCTGCTGGGACATTTCAGGGACCCCAAAAAAGTTCTAACCTTCCTAACATTGCCAACAAATAGCCTGTGATGTTGAGTTCCTGTGTGCTGTCGGTATTGCTGACCGTTTATGACGCCACAACACGAGAAGAGAGAGAAATATTGAATTTGTTTGTTTGTTCCATAGCAACAATCTCCAGTTGGTTAGTTATTGCAAGAACTTTTCCAAGTTTTCGTAGCATTTCACTGACAGGTTTTTGTAAATGCAATTATAAGGCGTTGTACAACAGATTTCTAAAAGACTTTCATTCTTTTAAAGCCAACTAATAATTGTTGTCTGGAAAAATAATTAAGTTTCTCTATGGGGCACAACATTTTCCAAACCCCTCTTCGGACTGCATTACCACGTAGTGTAGAGATATAGATGGACCATGGAACAAGTGTCGCAAATTTATTGCAGTGCAATTGCCTAAGAAAGAACTGATGTGTGAATTATAACTAGTTCAGAACAAAATGTTCCTGCCATAGAAATATATGAGGAGACTGTTTAGGTCACTCAGGCATACACAGATACTTAGGATTAGGGGTCACCATTGACAACAAACTGTTTCAGAACGAACATATTGACATTTTAAAAATAAAAATGACAAAACAAAGGCTTAAAAAAAAGTTTCTTTTTAGAACATTAATCCTTTGAACCCTGTGCCCATACACCTAGCCACCGGTACCCAGTGAGTCCCTATCCCAGACCCGTCTCATCTGGGACAAAATCCACCCGCAAAATGGTTTACTACACAGGACGCGATTGAAATTACCTCTATTTTGAAGATCTTTCTCAATTAGATGCTGAATGACGAGAACTACCACCCAGAGTGGGATATGGAATGTTTAATGTGATTCTTAGGATGATAATAATAATAATAATAATAATAATAATAATAATGAAGATCATTTCCATAGCGCCCACTCCCGTGTGAACACAGCTCTAGGCACTTTACGTAAATGCATCATGTATGAACAATGCATGCACACACGCACACACACATACATACACACACATTAACACACGCACACACACACACATGCGCGCACGCACGCTTACACATCGTTACGAAATGAGCACATACTAATACATAATAAAATAATATATATACACAATGCAATTAGCAAAATACTTAAATGGATACATAGTCATTTACATGACATTGTACCGAACATGAATCTACTGACATAGGATTATATTGTCAGGGGGCTTGCTTTCCCCTCATTGATTGTACATGCGTACAATTAACATAGATCTGATCTTCCAATACATGTACTCACCTGTAGTCAAGTAGGCTACTGTAAAAAAAGCGTGCAGAAATTTATTTGCTTGGTATGAAGTAGTCAGTGTTTCTTTTGGAGCATCCAATCAACCTGCAGAGATTATATTTGTCAATGTTAATGGCTTTCATTCAGTTTTAACCCTCCAAGCATTGCTAACAAATAGCCTGTCATGTTGGGGGAAATTGTATAAAATGATTTCATGATATTATGTTTGAAAATTATTCTTGGGAACTGGCAAAATCAAGAAAGTAAAGACAATAAAAACCTATACACAGAAAGAAGAATGTAATAGGAAGTAGAGCTCATTTGTGAAGGAGTTGAATGTTTATGATGTAAAAGGGGGATAAATGAATGGAAGTGGTGTCTCGAACAATGGCCGATTAAATTGGCCAATGACACAAGAGGGTTAAAAATGTTTAAGAATTTCTATAAATTTATTGTGCATCTTCTAGGAAGCTGCATTTTTTAAAAGGAGTCAAAATTTGTTTTCATCTTTAATTTCAGGTCGATCACAAGGTCTTACTACAGAAATTCTGTGGGTGTGATGATTGTATACGATATCTCCAAGAGGAGCAGTTTTGAGAATCTGAAAGACTGGTATGAAGAAGCACGGGAGCACATTGAGCCGCACAAGGCCATCTTCGTTATCTTGGGTCACAAGGCAGACAACGATGAGAAACGACAAGTGACATTCAGAGAAGGAAAGCGCTTTGCTGAAATGCATGGACTAAAATTTTTTGAGACATCTGCCAAAACTGGCCAGAATGTTGAGGAATCCTTTGCACAGATTGCAAAAGACACATATCAGCATTTGCAAGATGGTCATATCAAGATAGAAGAAGGCTGGGATGGAGTCAAGGTAGGATTTGCCAGGCCAAAAGAGACAGTTCATTTAGCTGAGGCGGAGGGGGAAAGCCGGTGCTGTTGAAATCGTGTGTTGTAAAATTTGTTACACATGTGTCGAGATTGTTCTGAACGGGTGTGAGAATGTAGCCTCTTACAGGAATTGGTGAAGGAGTGAAGGTCTGGTCTTGTCAATATATTGCAGACAACAGGGCAGTGTACAATGTCACATGTGCTGTCCTCGGGGCGTTTTCATCCCTTTAATCCCACAATAGATGTTTTCATTAAGTCGTTAGTGTTCAAAAGCTGGTTACACATTCTTTATTCATGATCCCATTCACACACAGAAATGAATTACTCCCAAAGTTGTTTTTTTTGTTAAGTTGAAAACCTGATTGTTATGGTAATCATAGTGTACAGGTGTCTGGTGGTGCACAGACTGCTGGTACAGGATAAAGAGAAGGGGAAAGTTTGTTCATTTTTGGCAGTTCCATGCTAGAGGCTAATTGTCACTTTTACCCTAAGGTAGTTGTGAGATGCTGTTGGATAATCCAAACATTTCACTCTTGTGATAATTTTGGGGAATTCTCACTGAATGCAGTTTTAATGTAGGGACCGTATAATCAATTCAAGCAATTGTTCTAATGAAGGGTAGCAGAATTATATTATAGACTGGTAGAGGAACTCCTGGGTGCAGTTATGTTCTTTGTTACGTGCTCATTCTGTGTGAAAAAAGTAGCTCTGTGCATCTGAGTGATCATTGCTATTTGAATTTAAGTTGAAATTTTAACGCCTGAACATCTTGTGCTTTTGTACTTACCCAAGTGAGCCAGCGTAATGTTGTTCCATAATTTACATGTTGTTTTAATTTCGGTGTGAGTGACCAAGGCTGTCCCAGAAGTTAAATGTGCAATATGTCATTTTTTGCCTGTTTGCTGTTTGATAATGTCTTTTTTATGAGTTGCAAAGTGTATCAATCTGCTTTTCAAGCATAATTTTTAAATGTCTTTTCTGCAAAGCTGTGATTTCTTTTTTGTTGATGTGACTTGACTTGTTACTGCATGCAGTGGATATTTGAACATAATCATAATGCCTCCCTGTGCATGGGATGATTTTAAAGGTTTACAATTTTACAGTTAAATTCTAAAAATTTTGATTCTTTGTCATGTTTATACTTAATCTTGGCATAGCCATGTTACACTCGTAGAAGGCAAGGGATTTTAGGGTGGGAGGTGGTGGTGAAAATATTGACGGTATTGCCTTGTGCTTTTTTTGTATGTGTTCAAATGACATGACATATTAGATAAGAATTTTATAAAACAATAATATAGTTTGTTAAGAAATGAATATTAAGTGTATAATACATGCTGTATATTTTTCTGGCAAAGTGTATAATTATAAATCAAAATGGCATGAATCCTATTGGTGAAGAATTTGAGAGCTGAACCTAGACTCTTTAACAACTTTACAACTCATGACCCGAGGAGAGAAGGAGAGACAAAACTCTCATTATCATATCAATCAATCGTCTCTTGGCCGGTTGTATGGCAAGGTAAACTACTAGAGCGCTATCGATTTAGAATTTTGATATATTATGAAATTTTTGTAGTTTTTTTTTTATAGTGCTGCATTGTGTTGTTGGTGCTGCATCAAAGCATAGCTACTTTACAGCTTTACAGCTGTCTAGTTGTTCTCCTGGGGCAATTCATATCGCTAGGGGATCTCATGGGGAGGCCAGTTGTGGGAGTCAATGTTGTGAATTTATGGACATTTTTAAGTCCCAGTTCACTGATTTATAACACGATAACACTGAGCTCTGGTGCGTTTTTAAGTTTTACTCGATTTTGTATGTTATTCGAGTGAAGATAAGGATTGCTTTTTATCTTTTGACAAATCAAAAGATTATGTAAAACAAATGACATTCACCATATCATAAAAGGCTAAAAACAGGTCCAGTGGAATTAGAATATCCATGTTTTGTGTTTGAAAATTGTTTTTTTTTTCCCCTGAAATCTCATTTTGAAGCCAGTTATTTTGGTTTTATCTTTTTGATTTGATTCAAATTGTGTTTGCTGTGGCATGTTACTCTATAAATTATGTGTCTCCCATGTTTTCACATATCAAGATATTTACTTATTTATACACTTTGAATCTTTTACTGTTTATTAAAGGATAGTTCACGGGTCTGGCGACAATTTTCATGACATGGTGGGTGCTTTTCTCTCTCAGATCACAACCCAAAGATCAGGGTGTGTACGATATTATCGGTTAGGGTACTTTGTGTTTCATTCACAATGTTATTTAAATGATTTGATGCTTTTTAGTTTTTGTAAGAGTTTTACGGCACTGGCAACACAATAAGGTCATATAAGTGCCGAAAATTAGAGGTGTTACAAGAGAGTAACAAACACAAAATAGAAGGAGGGAAGTTAAAATGATAGATGTTTGATAGGAAAGAAGGAGCAAACCACACCAGAGTACCCGCCAACCACCCACATGATTTGATGCTCGGGTCAAGAATTCCTACGGGGAAATCTGTTTCCAGTGTCGTGTCTACAAGCATTCTTGCAAATAACTTTGGGCAGTGATTATTCAAATCCTTACAACTCGGGTACCTATCATTGCTGTCATTCGGCATTATAGTGTGTTCAAATTTCGAAAAAATGAAAATCAAGTATGTAGTAAAAGTTTGATGAGGTGCACCGATTGGTCCAAGTCTCATTCCTCTTCTTTAAGAAAATAATGAATTTAGACGCATTAAACATTTTGTATCAGTATAATCACCTGAGAGAAATAAAACAGTTTTTTTTGCTTCTTCTGAAGACCCCGTATTTTGACATATATGACAATGATAAATGACTGACTGCAATGATATTTATGCACTTGCAGTTAAAAGCTGAGCTGGGCAAGCACTAGTCTGATAAAGACTACCAAAATTCTCACTGATGAGTGGGAAGTGCCTAGGTATTGTTTAGTTAGAATAAGCAAGAACATTAAAAAAACCTGATTAACTTACTTCTATGTGTAGTGTGTTCACGTTAGGAGATGAGCCAGTAATCAAATCTGTTACTGTTACTATATTTATTTTATTTTGGTGAAGTTTTTTTAGATCTAAAATTTTGAAAACTATGTCAGTGTGTATTCCAAAAAGCTTTTATGGAAATTCTGTTGTCTGGTTTGGAAGGTATTTTTAATAATACTAATAATATGTTGATAAATAACTGTCTCAATTTTTTTGTTTTTCATCTATAATTTTTATTTGGCTGAGAATAAAATATGGCTCTTGTATGTGAACTTGAGTGAAACGACATGCTTTTGAGAAACTGTAATGTTGATGATTTTATATTTAATGCATAGGTGTCAAACTCAAGGCCCGCGGGCAGCATCCAGCTTGGCGAACAATTGTATCTGGCCTGCGAGAGAATTTTAGGAAGCCTAACCTGAGAATCTCCATAACACAGAAACTTATTCCAAACATGAGCGGACTAGTTGCCTACAAAATGTACCAAACATTCAACTCTTGAAAAATTGAGCGTAAAATTATATGCCTTGATTTGTTCAATTGTTCAAACTTGTTTTCTATTTTTTTTATAATATACATTTTAAAAAAGGTTTAGTTCCAATGCTCAACGAGTGTTTATTCAGTGCGACCCTTGACCTTAGGTATAATTTTGGCCCCTAGAATGATTGAGTTAGACACCCCAGATCTAATGTCTTTGTTACCAGTTGCCTCTCAGAGTGTACAGTAGAGCGATTAGCTTCATTTATGATTTGTTTTACACATATGAGAGATTCAGGCATGTTCCGAACTGCTTGAGCAGTTAAAACACTACACAAGGTGCTATCTATACAAAAGGAGGGGAGAAGAATGAGCAGTTAGTCCCCTAGAGCAGTGCTTGCCAATGCGGGTGATATCGCCCACCGGTGATTTTGGTGGGCAGGAGGAATCACCTGTGTAGTGACAGGTTTTATTTATGCCCGTTTTGGAAATACGTACAGGGGCAGGACAAAACAAAAATTTTAGCCTCTTAAAGGTGGCAAAAGTGAACGCCGGATTTAAAAATGTTGACAAGCACTGCCCTAGATTGTTCTGGGTATATGGTATTATGATCAAACTTCACCTTTCATTAGTTTAAAGTTTTTTTAGTTTTCTATTTTGTTTTGAATGACAGACCGTAAAGCTGGCTTTGAATTTGTGCATTTTTCCATTCTAGAAAAATGGAAACAGTGTATTATACTTTTATACACATTTAGATTCATAGTCCCGGCTTTGCATGGATTAAGGGAATGTCAGAACTGTGGTTGTCACTGTTTTATGATTTGTTTCAAAAGAAAATGCTCATTTTTTTAATATGGAGGTTTACTTGAGGGAAAGACAATGCTCATATTTTTTTAATTTCGAATTTTTATGGTTAGTTGTTGATTAAGCTGCAGATGATATGGTAGTTGCAGAACAAAAGTTTTCTTTGTCTCAGTCCCATATAATGATATATAACTAAAGCCAGGCATGAGTCTAGCAGCTATCTTGTGGGCATTATGGACACTGGTCAACCATTCAGTTTTTCCATTATAATCTGAAGACTGATGATCTTATAGATCCAAGAGAGGAGAGCATTTACAGAAGTAGTAAACTACCACTTGTCGCCAACATGGCAAAAAGAGAAAAAAAATACTGGAAATAAAAACAAGCAACTTAAATTGATCACAAATGCTAAAACTAGCTGCAGATAGTTGTACCTTTCCATTTCCTAAAGTGGAGTCGATGTCCATCTTAAAGCTGCTTTTATCACCTTTACTTTGATTTTGCAGCCTAGGGGATTATAATGCTTTTGTGGGTTTTTAAATCTCACAATTGAGGAAGAAGTAAATGCATTCTCTCAAAGGTTGAGGCAAAAAAATATCAGTTTAAGCAGTTAGATTTATTTGCCAGCAATTAATGTCAAGGAGATTGATTATATGGCCCGTAACTCATGAGGCAGCCCTATCTCAAATGAACTTGTATAATAAAAAAAAAAATAGTGACAGGGAAGAGGAGCAGCACAAAACCCTCAACTGCTTTGTTTTGTTTGCAGTTTTGTTTACCTCAGATATACGTGTATATATGTGGCCACAGATATTCTTCTGTCTATGTGTTCATGAGCTTGCTGTTTCTGTCATCGGGTCATGATATTCTCATTCTACCACCTATGCGCCTGTTGTTCTCATGCAATTCAGATTTCTTTCAGCCCGGCCATCTGTTGCGACATAGTGACGTGATGAGTTGCTGTGTATTATAATGTGGAATTGTAGTTTGTTTTAATCTCATCTGTGTATCATGGTCCTTTTTTGGCCCTTTGTGTCTTGACAAACAGTTTTTAACCACCATTGGTCCAGTGAACGGAGATGAACGTTTTTCAACGATTGTTTAAAACAAAAAGTGCAGGGATTTGATGATTTTTGTTTTTAAGAATGCCCAGCCCCTTACCATTTATCTCTTTGTGAGATTCTTTTTCAGGCTGTGCCCCAATTATAAGATTTAAAAAATGCTTTCAGTTTTTGAGTCTGAGGCTAAACTTGCGGTTGTTGTGATGTTGTTGTGATCGATTCAGAAGACTTGCGGTACATAACCGGTATCTACTGGATAAAAGTTGTGAGAGCTATAGGCCAATTCTGGGCATAAAAAAAGGAAACTTTCAGTGAAAATGATTAGTTGCATGTGACCTCTGGGCCAATTCAATGCATAAAAAAAGGCAAATTTTTAGTAGTTACACATGCGACCTGACATTGTGTGGCACAAGGTATTCAGTATTCAGCTGGGGGAGTGGGGCCATGTTCATCGTGTACTGGTACAGTGTTTGGTGTTGTGTTCTCGTATTTTTTCAGTCTGAGTGGACTCTGGGGTAGTGGGAGAACTTTGGAGTATCATCAGATTACTTTGTAACTGGACCACAGGGTGCTTATTTGTCACGGAGGCTGGTGGATTTGAGTATTTTCTGTTCTGGAGCAGGATTAATGTCACATAATGTTTTGACTTCATAGAGTTTAGGTTACGCCTGCAAGTTCTGGTGTATACCTTTGTTTACATTGCGTGCCATAAATCCTTTTTGTGGCTTTTGATTTGCAGTATTTGAACTTCTAAGGATGGTTTATCTTTTCAACCATGAAAGGGAATGGAGTAGGTGTTCACACCTGTTGTACATGTATGAATTATTCTATCTATCTAACTCTAACAAATCTGTTGTTAACTCTCCAAGTGTTAGTTACAAATAGCCAGTGGAGTCAGTAAATTATTTGATTTCATTATATTACGTTGGAAAATGCCTGCGAACCTGCAAACCAAGCGTATAATGGTCATAAACTTAAGTATTTTCAGAAAGTAGAATGGAAATAGGAAGTAGAACTAATTTTTGAAGGAGGTGAAATTTTTAATGATAAAGTAATAGGATAAACAAATGAAAATAGCGGCTCAAATTGCGGCCAACTAAATTAGCCATGACACCATAGATTGAAACTTACTGCCGATTTAATCGGCCGTTGAGATTTGGAGGGTAGTCATTATATATGGGTCACATCTGAGGCAATTATTACGTGACATTGCCCTTTTTTTGCCTGCTTTAGTGAACAACTCATAGACGTTGACTTTCCCATCAGTTTAGACTTCTTGAAGTACAAACCGTGCCGTCATTTGCCCTAATCTAAGTCAACTTCCTCCCCTCCATCGGTCTATTGGGGTGTTGTAGGCTACCTCATTCAACCATGGTTGTAGGTGATAGACAGGGTGGAAACATACCCCCACCTGTATGGTTTAGATTGTGTCGATGGCATAAAGATTTAGTCATCAGAAACTCATTTTGGCTTGAGGGGAGGCGAGCAAATGGTCAACTTATTTCCTTTCCTGCTTAAGTTCTAGTTTGCTTTAACATAGTTTTCTATTTCACAATATAGTTTTCTATTACATAAGTCAAAAAGTGTGATTTAGTCAATGTAGTTTTCTACTACTACTACTACTACACAAATCGAATAGTGTGATTGATGCCCACCAAGCTTTTAATGTTTAGAAATTTGAGCCAATATTGTTTTGTGTGTGAATAAGCTTCTGTCTGCTGATGTCCTGTCCTTCCACAGTACATGCTTGGTTATGCTATCTTCTCTTGTAACTTGGCACAATGTCATGTATTTGTTATGTGTAGGGTGACGGTCATACACATCAATATATTACATCGATATTTATATAATATGCATAAATTATGTGTATTCTCCATGCATGGAGCCGACTTATACACATGATTCCGTATAATACCAAAAATCAAAAGTCTTCATCGTACATTTAATTTCTTGCTCAGAGATTCAGAATAAATGTTGATCTATGTCATTTATTTGTTTGATGGACATTATGTTTTCATAAATTAATATGAATGTACTCAACATCAACGGTTCAAGGGGTTAATAGTACATCAGATCCTAAAGTTTCAATATCTAACATTCTGTAATTTTATGACTTTTCATCTCTACTTTAAGAGATAACAGGATATCTGGTTTCAAGAGGGCTGATAGGCCATTTAATTTTTAAGTGGTTAGAGGTTTACTAGGACATTTTGCCCTAGTTTTTTTTTCTATATATATATATATATTGGTCAGGTCATGTATGCTGTACATTAGTTGACTTGCACAGTGCAGGGATGAGTCAATAGAAAATGGATCTTGCTTTTTTGTTTGAGGAGGAGGGTATTTGAGTTGTACGTTGTATTGCTCGAAGTGTTACATTAAACAAGACAGGGGCCCAGTGGGAGATGAACTGGGAAGAAGGTGGTGGCAATAGAGGATTGGACATACTCTCAGGAAGCCAGGCAGTTGTATGGCAAAGAAAGTTTTCGACTGGAATTCGCATGGTTAGAGGTCAAGGGGAAGGCCACATGGTTCCTGGAGAATAGTCACATAGAATGATGTAGGCTACAGAAAAGTGGGAAGACATGAAATAATATCAAGAAGCCAGCACAGGATATGGACAGATGGAAAGTATTTGTTAGCGACGTTTTTAGAGTCGACTCTAAGTGTGCTACTGTTACTTGCACCCGTGCACAAGCGATTTTGATCTCTTTCTCTCTCATCTTGAAAATGAAATTCCTTGAGAATACATGAAAACTCCAATGAAATAACCAGATAAGTCACAGTTTTTAAGAAGATGGTTTTTTTTTCTCCTGTTGCATTCTTTAGAAATTGAATTTTGTTCTCCTCAAATAAATCCATGGATAACGACAACCAAATCTTGTGCTATGTTACTTAAAAGAAATGATGTAGGCTACTCACTATGAGGTACACACTTTCAAACCTTTTGATATTCAGTTTTCTCCACTTTTTAAAACTGTGACCTCTCTGGGTTTTTCCTCTGGAGTCTTCACATATTTTTTTATCACCGGGAACTTTTAAGAATTTTTTTGGCTTAGAAGTTTTGCATAATGCATCGATTCATTTCTGAGAACCTTTTGCAGCGTAATATTGTTTTCCTTAGTGTATGAATTCACCCTACAAACCTTTGCCTTAATGTGCCCATGTGGAGGGGTGTGTCTTGTGTTGTTGTTTTTTTGTTCTGGATCCCATGAATTCAGGACCCAGAAGCTCTCATTGTAAGACTTTCACTTTTGTTTTGTGGTTTTATTAATTTTGTTTTCGGTGCAGTGACTCACTCCCATTATTTTTATGACCATGGCTACATCAAAGAAACATGTCGCTGCCTGTGGTCGTGGTGAATGGTTTGTGAAGGTTGTAACATCATTCATTAATCTAATCTCATCTTGGTTTGTTGGCCTCATCTTGCAGTATAGCCCCGAACAAAATTCACGGGCTCCACCGTCCACCACTAAAATCATTGCAGAAATAGCGACAGGAGTGGAGGTTGCAATAAGGATTTCATGATGGCTTATGACAATATGGTACACTGGTGCCTGTCACAGAGAAAACACCACTGTATTTCTTTTGAAATTTCTGAGGTAGGGCCTACAGCCATAGGAACTGTTTCATAAAAATTTCATTGCTGACATTCAACATTGTGTGTTGCCTAAAGTTTTTAAAAAAGTTAAAATCAAGTATGTTGTTGGGTTTCATGAGGTGCATTGATTGGTCCTGGTCTTATTTCTCTTCTTGAAATATGGATTTAGACGAATGAAACAATTTATATTAACATTATGTCCTGCTGGAAGTAAATCTGTTTTTTGCTTCTCCTGAAAACCTTTTCTTTTGATGTAAGACGATGATGAATGATATTGATGATTTGTTACACCTGGGAAGTATCTCCTACATTCATTCTGTGAACAGTTTGTCAAATCATGAATACATTATGTTGCTGCTGGCCCTATGGTGACTTTTTAATACATGTACCTCACTATAGTCAAGCACACACATAGTGAAATTGGCGGGATTCAAAAAACTTTTTATCATGTACCGGTACGAATTTCGCTTTACCAGTATATGTACGAATTTGAGGCTATATATTTTTAAGAATTTAAGAAAAAGTTTGGGAACAGAAAATCAATTCACTTTGTGCATGATTGTTATGTTCATGGTAGACTGTAGTTTTTTTGGGGAGACCTTCTTTTTAAAAAAAAAATAACGAGACAGACATTGACCAGTGTCTGCGGTACAATGGTCAGGGGCTTCGCTTTTGCACACATAAGACCTGAGTTTATTTCCTGAGCGGGGAGAAATTTTTAATCAAGTATCTCAGTCTTTCTGCTGGAATGTTGCATCCCTCTCAGCCCAGGAGGGCCTTGACAGGCAAAGTCCGCAGCCCGCCTCCAAAAGGATCTATTTTGTGTCGATGGGGGACACCTACATTTAGGAAAAATATTAAATTGAGACAGACATATATACTGTATTTTCTGCGTGCTCCCAGTGAGGTACAAATGTATAAATTTGTAACATTTATTGTTTCTTCATGCCCCCATTCCCATCACTGTACGATGCCCCCCCCCCCCCCCCTTACCCAAGACATTTCGCTACCTAAGAATTATGAAGTTCTATCTAACATTTTTGGACATTTTGAGTTACTAAGACATGAGGTCAGAAAGCAAATGCTTGATAGATATCTGCTTTATCAAAATGGTAAGAATATTTGGAGCCTTTATCAAGATATTCGAAGAATTGCATCCGAAGAAGCTTGACATTTTGTGAAACTCAAAAATTTTGACGTCAAATTTCTTCAAACTAGATATTGAGCTGATAAAACTGATAATTCTGAGGTCGCAATTTGTATATTCTGAGACAGACGTGAAGGTTCTTTCTGTATATTCCCAGTGGGGTACAAATATACACTGTTCATGTATTTTATTGTTCCAGTGGGGGTACAAATATACACTGTACATGATTGTATTTTAATTTCCCAGCAAGGTACAAATGTACTCAGTACATATATATTTGTACCAGTGTGGTACAAACGTACCTTGTACGTGTGTATTTTATTGTCTCATTGAGGTACAAATGTACATTGTACATGATTGTATTTCATTGTTTCAGTGGGGTACACACAATATGTGGAATTCGGGGCTCGTCAAATTTTGAGCATGCGGAGTCATTGGTATCATCTTAAGGCCTGTTCATTCATCTTGCTTTCGATGAAAAAAAATATACTTATAATCTATTGTGAATAAAAGTCAAGATATTTGCGATTGAAGAAGGTCGGGGTTGCCTGGTTTCAGGGGTAAATTTAGCTAGAGAATGGCAGCCACCAAGGTTGGGCAACTTCCAAAGCTTGAGAGTCCTTGGAAACTGGAATATATTAATGTATTTGTGCCTTCAGCAAACGGTTTTCAGTAAAAATCCTCACAGAAGTGAGTTTTTAAATGAACAAAAAAGGTTTCGAGGCTAAACACAAAAATTACCAAATAAGGGGGAAAATGCCGGTTTCTCCTTTCATTATTTTGACGGGCGCTTGATTTTACCACGCTGCCTCATGCTATTGTCCCAGTGGGGTACAAATGGTCGCTTTTAAGGACAAGCGGGATATCCCAGATTTCGGGGTTTCCAGAAATGTTGACCTACGCCAAAAGTGGACATTGCCCTACCTTTAGGAGAAGTTTGATTTCATTGGTGTGTTTGTTTGGTTTTAGAGAAAACTTTCATTGTCTTTTCAAGAAACTGAACAAGGGGCAAAAACTTCGCCTTCGATTTTCTCAAAACAGCATTTTTCAGGATAGCCCCCTTGTGCTTAAAAGCGACCAAATACACACTGTACATGTATTTTATTGTCCCAGTAGGGTACAAATACACACTGTACATGTATTTTATTGGCCCAGTAGGGTACAATTACACACACTGTACTTGTATTTTATTGGCCCAGTAGGGTACAATTAGTACAAATACACACACTGTACTTGTATTTTATTGGCCCAGTGGGAATTGTGTACACCGTACATAATGTATTCGCTAACATTGTTCCTTCAGTGCCCCCGCTCCTGTCGCTGTGCGGTGCGGTGCCCCCCC